GCACCCGCCCTTCTGCCTGCCCTTCGAGCGCATCGTGCCCCGAGAGAGCATGCTGCTGGGAGATGGGCACTTCCTGCCCGGTGGGACGGTGGTGGGGATGAATCCGTGGGTGGTGAACCGGCACCGGCCGACGTTTGGGGAGGATGCGGACGTGTGGCGGCCGGGGCGGTGGTTGGTGGGCGCGGATCGGTATCGGGGAATGGAGCAGAGTGTTTTGACGGTAGGGATCCAGGATTTCTTTTTTGTGACAAGTGCCGTGCTAAGCGTGTTTGTCTACCAGTTTGGGGCTGGCCGACGTATCTGTCTCGGAAAGAACATTGCGTTGTTGGAGTTGAAGAAGCTGACGGCTGCTCTGGTGCTGAACTACGAGGTTTGTGACGTCGCCCCCTTGGTTTTGGCGAGCGGCCCAGCTAATGAGCATGGTAGACTACGATATTGGATCCTGCGCAGTTCCAGGTAGAGAATCGCTGGTTTTTCCGCCAATGGGGCTTGCACGTAACTATCAAGAGACGATCTTGAGCGGGGGGGTTTTGGAGAACCAAAGTGGCCGTCTCTGGAGGGAACGACAACGGAGTGAAAATAAATGCGGTGATGGATCTGGATGATGTGGATTAGAATGAGGAAAGTAAAAGGAAAAAGAAGGAATCCACTCGAGGGAGAGAATTTTCATGTCTAAGGTCTAGACAGCTCTTGTCCTAGATCTGGGATTTTGTCCTGTTGCCCGTAGCTTACATGGAGCAATCGCACATATCAAGCAATTCACCCGCAGTTAATGCTTTTAAGTGTCGCTTGCCGTATGCCCCATTTTGTCTAGCATCTAATGATGGCCATAGCCCAATGAGAAATGCGTTTCACGGTTTGCTAACCTGGAATACCCAGATTTCAGGGGCTGCAATGCTCAGATCTCGAGGCTCAAGGTGCACATTCATTCCAACATCTTTGTAGAGATGGTGCCACAGGTTCGAATAGGGAATGGCAACACTGATATACACTAGTATGACATAGACACCTTGATCTAGCTATGTACCCTCGTGAATTACACGGGGAAGCCGGGGCTTGAATTTGAAAGCTACAACGCGATGACTTTTAACCACCAGACACAACCGCCATACGTCACCATCCCTCAGTCCCCCCATCACCCCTTGCTTACCCAAGCCAGCCATCTCGAGATCTCTCCCCCAGCCTCCAGACGGGCAGCCCCTCCCCATAGCCCCTCCCCCCTGCCCCTCCCCCTCCCCATCTCCATCCAAGCCGCTCCACTCTAAGCCACCAAATCCTCACACCTCCCCGACGGCGGCACGGCCGACGGCCCCCGATCCACAAACTCCCCCGCCGCCGGCACCACCAAGCCCTGCCATCCTGCCTTGACAATCGCCTCATACCAATGCTCCGCCATAATCCGATACCCCTCCTCATCGGGATGGGTCCCGTCCGGCAGACGCGCCAACGTCACCCCCCGCATGCGCGGCGCCAGCACCACCTTGTTCTTGTTCTTCCCCTGGCGGCGGCGGTTGGCGGCGGCGACGACGCCCGGGATGCGCGCGTTGTATTCCTCGATGAGGGCGTTGACGGTGGCGTTGGCGTTAGGGATGACCTGGGCGACGACGAGGAGGGCGTGCGGGTTGTGGGCGGTGGCGAAGTCGATGAGGTGGGCGAGGCGGCCCGGGGCGGAGGTGACGTTGACGCCGAGGACCAGGTTGACGGTGCCGGCGTGGAGGAGGATGATGTTGGGCTGGGAGGGGGCGGGCAGGGTGAGCTCCGGGTGGCCGGCGGTCAGGATCTCGTCGAGGGTGTGCAGGTTGAAGGCGTCGCTTTCGTTGTTGTCCCAGTCGCCGTTGCGGACGGAGCCGATGAGGGAGACGGGGTTGCCGTGGGTGGAGAGCAGACATTGGAGGTCGCGGCGGTACGAGTTGCCGCTGGGCTCGTTGTAGCCGAAGGTGATGGAGTCGCCGAGGGGGAGGATGCGCAGGGGGGCGCCGCCGGCGATGGGGCCCGGGGAGAGCCCGAGCCAGCCGTTGAATACGGTCCAAAGGATGTCGGAGAAAAGCATGATGTTCTTGCGGTTACTTGCTACCTGGCATCTCAACTGCCGCTGTACGGGATCTGTTTGGAGTTAAAGGTATCTTGTTTCGGAACATCCTTGCCCCAGGGGCTCGTATTGATGTTTAGAGCTTCTTGTTATGTAGCGGAAAGTATAATGCATTGCATCTGGCCTGGCCCGGTTCAATTGCTTTCGGCGAATTTTATGGGAGGATGAATAGTCGCCGGATTTGTTGTAATTAGTGAAGATGTGTTTCGGCGATCATGCCGCATTTGTCTACCATGTGTGAGATGTGTAAGTCAAACATCTCAGTTCCAACTTCCAAGACACCCACCTAGGTTCTCAGCCAAGCAGGGTAATTAGGTACAGGCGAGGGGTGTTTCAGGTAACTACCAGACTTCGTACGACGCGTCAGATCGATCATGATATATAACCCCGCCTCTATGGTTTGGGTTTTAGCAGTGGTGTCGATTTAACGCGCTTCAGGCACCTCGATCCAAGGATCTCGCTAGGAGCAGAAGAAGGAGCTGAGAGAAAGAAAACGGTACATCTGAGTTTGTCTCGGGATGCAAATCGCGTTGCGAATCTTGAGCTTACCTACCTAAGAGAGCGAAACGCAATGGGATAGTTTTGACCCATCTAAGTTGCATAGGCTCTCCCAATTCATTCATTCTATGGCTATATAATTAGTAGCTAATGTAGATAGGTAATGTTTGTGAACGAAGGGGAGGGAAACCGCCGTAGGTCCAATAAGCCCACCCGAACCAATCTCGTAGGTGCCATTAATTATGTCGCTCGGGGTCCCCCAAGGCTCACCCCTTTCCCCCGTTCTCTTCATCCTCTACATTTCCTCATTATACAAGCAGCTAAAAGACGAGCACCCTCACTTGGATATAACAGGGTTTGCGGATGACACCAACCTCCTAGCATTTGGTCGAAACCCCGAGGCCAATGTCCGGCAACTAGAGGCGGCGTGGGAAACGTGTATACGATGGGCGGACAGTCGGGGGATGAAGTTCGCCCCGGAAAGAGCGAACTCATCCATTTCAACAAAGGGCGACGGCAGTGGACCGAACAGGTAAACCTTGCCAACCCAGGGGGAGGCACTAGCCCCGTTGAACCAGAAGGGTCTGCCAGATTCCTGGGAGTCTGGTTGGACTGGAAACTCAACTGGAAGGCTCACCTGGTGGTGGTGGAGAAGAAGCTGAGGACCCAGAGCTATGCCCTGTCGAGAATCGTGGCAAAGACGTGAGGAATGGGGCTAGCCAAAGCGCGAGAAGTGTACACAAAGTGCATCCGGTCGGCGCTGGCCTATGGCGCATCATCGTTTCACATCCCCACGGATGTGGGAGCCGAGCCGGTAAAGAAAGGCATCACTAAGGCCCTCGGGAAGGCCCAGAATAAGAGCTTGCGGATTGTGGCGGGAGCCTTTAAGTCTACCCCCATCCGTAACCTCGAGACAGAGACATGGGTACCACCATTGGACTTGTACCTAAACAAACGGCTTGCAGATTTCGAAAACCGACTCCAACGACCCGATCTGGACGACGGTCAAGGCGGCAAGAAGACGGCGGCGAGCGTTGTCCTCACCGCCTGCCGCAAGATACAGCAGAGACTTAGCTCGAGGAGGGGCAACAGGGGCCGACCGCGAACCTTGGGACCTCAAGGGCCTACGGCGGTGGAGAGAGCCGCGGGCACGGTAATGCGCTGGACGGGGGGAACCGTTGATACGAACAGGGTAGTAGAAGAGGCTTGGAAAGCGAGGTGGTTAAAGGAACGGGACGGCAGGGTAATCACAAGGCCGGCGGACGACTTTGACCATCAGCAGGAGACGCTATTCCGGAACGAAACCCTAAGGAGGCACGACGGTCTCAGCAAGGCGAGGAGCTCACTGCTGATTCAAATCCGGACGGGAGCAATAGGCTTACGGGACTTCTTGTTTACACGGGGAGTCCCGGAGGTTCTGACTCCTGCCTGCGAGTGTGGCGAGGGACGAGAGACTGCCGAACACCTGGTAGTGTGGTGTTTGGCCCCACCGTTGACTAGAAGATGGGAGAGAACTGGAATTCGGACACGACGGGACCTTTACTCTGTTCTACACGGCATCAATCCCACGACTGCACGGCTGGCGAGGAGAGTTCTCGACTGGCTGATGGACTCGGGGAAGCTGCCGATGTACAACTTAGCCAGGAGGCTTGAGCTGGAAGCGGCGGCCTGAAGCGCCCCCGTTCGGAGGCCAGGAGGCCTCCTCTCTTTGTATACGCAGACTCACCAGAACGCATCGTTCCTTGATTGTTGGTATGGGTTTTTCACCCGGCCCGGGAGGGCACGGTTTTCCTGTACACTAAATAGGTAGCTGAGGGTCCGGCACGCCCTAGGGCATAGCGGAGTATGAATAATAATATATAGCGCCGGTTCTGGAGGGTACTTGAAGGGAGCCAGGCTCTCTTTTTCTCTAAAACATAGGATAATAGCACATTTTATCATTGAGAAGCCTAGACTCTCCATTATCAAAGGCTCCCTATACATAGTGGTGTGCATCCCACCGTCCCCATGGCGTCGGAAACTGGAATGGATTGTCCTCAAGCGAAGAGCCGATCTGCGGGGTTAAACAAGCGAGATTCGCCGAGCAGCATGCACTCAGTGTTTTCGAAATGTCTCTCTGGGCGCTGGGCGGGGTGGCCAACACTGTGCCAGTATCACCAAGCAAATCGCAAATGAGCATGCTTAAGAAGAGTCGAACGCTTTAGCTTTGGTGTTCTCGCATCAACCGGTATATTGAATACAAACAGGTCAAGAAGTGAGACATAGACGCTAGAAAGACGGGCAATGCTCGAGGGGCAGGCAAGTGGGTGATGAAATAATTGAACTAAAGATATTAATAGTTGGTCACTCAATATTCACTGCGGTTAGTGGTCCAAAGGGGGGTCGCTTTGTTCTTGGTCGCTGTCACATTGAGCGAAAGGACATCCTTCTCCGGCAATTGAAGCCAGGACCCTATATACAATCTGACAGTCGCGGTCGTGTCAATGGGTCCTCATCACAACACTCCAAATAAAGCCAGAGTATCCCAGGGCGATTTGCTGTTGCGTAATAGTGTGTCGCAAGCCAGCCGAGTAGAGTTACATGATCTTTTGAAGCAAAATCTCGAATATCGAACTTTCAAGCGTTGATTATGGAGCATGGGGGGGATTTGCCGGCCGATGGCCAGTGTGAAGGGAGGATGTCAAGGCGACAGCCGATCCATGTATACATACATGGAGGGTTAGTTAGGGCTAAAACGATGGGCCTCAGAAGCGTGGGCGTCAATGTATATGAGGGACGTCGCCTCGAGGTCGTGTATACCTTACTAATAATGCATTTTTCTGATCTGATGTCTTCGGCGTTAATTGAGGCAAGGCTGGAGATAATCGGCGAAAGTACAGATAGGAAGTCGATCACATGAGAGACGGGAGATTACGAAGCGTAACCGCTTTCCCCTACCGATTGGGGAGTTCAAGTGTTGCAAGCGATAGGACTTATATTGTGGCGTTCCAACCGAGGCAGGTTACATACCTAAGTACCTATTTTTGCCCCAAGTTAATTCCCGGATATTCGCCGCCCCTCCCTGCTCACTCAGTATTCAATAGTCTCGCTTGGGGAACCTCTTCCACGCATCCGGAAATCCCGCACCGCGCACAAAGTCCCAATGCTTGGTCCACGTCATGGGCTGGTCGCTAGCCGAGTCGATCATGGCGATGCCGGCCGTGAGAAACATGTGCTGCTTGACGCGGAACTCGGGCCGGTCGTCGTAGGGCCGCGAGAGCTCCTCGGACAGCGCCGTGGAGCGTATCATCTTGGACATGTGCCCGTCGTCCTCGTGGTAGCACGCCCGGTCGAACACCTCGGCCCAGCCCTGGTTGGGCAGCTTCGACCGGTGCGCGCACAGGTAGTCGAGCCGTAGTTTCGGTGCCCCCATCCCTGCGTACGTCATCATGAAGACGCGGCCGCTGTACTCGAGCAGGCGGGCCTTTTGTGCCTTGGTCATTGAGTCCTCCCGTAGGAAGGAGGCATGGCCGATGCTGGCGGTCAGGGCGTGGAGTAGATAGAAATCAAAGGTGCACTGGTACGGCGGCAACTGGGCACCGGCCGTGATGTACACTGCGAAGTGTTAGTTCTTGAGCGTCATGAAAGTGCTCTTAGTAACGCTGGGCTCCCCGCAGGAAGTTCTTAAAACATACCGGCCGCGTTGATGAGCTCTGCCGTGGTTCGCTCAAGGTCGTCCGGATCTACACGCCACCGCGCGGCGAGACGAAGCAGCTCCGGCTTGGCGTTGGGCAACACGCCATCCCTGGCGAGCTCCTTGTCCATGGCCCAGCGGCCTGAGTGCTTCCTCGTCTGCGTGTGGAAGTCTAGGCTGGAAGCCGTACTGATCTTTGGGTCCGCATGCGCCATGTCAATCAGGTCGGCCAGCGGTAGAGGCGTCTCTAAAGCCTGGGCAGCGAGCGCCTCAGCCTCGCTGAGATACTCGACATACCACATATCGTGGTGCACGGCGGCCTGTGCCAGCCCTTCGGCCAGCAGCAGGGGCTGCCGGAACTCAAGAGCGAGGCCGATATGGATCAGCCCATGCACATAGCCTGAGGTGCCCGGGGGCATAAATGTCAGCTTCCTTACAAAAGGTCATACACGCCTCAATCCTCACCCACCCGGACCAGCCAGCACTTACCCATGTAGATGCGAAACATCATGTCGTTAGCAATCTTTCCGCCCCCGACTAGATACTTCTGCAGCACGGCTTGGTAGCCCTTCCGGTTGATCTGACCCAAGAAGAACTTTTCAAAGTTGCGGAAGTTCTCCTCGCGGCCTAGACATTTTGTGAAAATCACGTCGTCTTCCAAGTCCAACACGAGCGGCTCCACGATAATCATGGCGTCCCGCATGTAGCGCGTGTTTCGCTGGTGCTGAGAAATCAACACCTCCGGCTTGGCTCCCAGGGCCCACAGCGTCAGGTCATGATGGGCGATGTGGTTGTGCAGATATACCTTGAGTGCTTGATGAGCCTGCGAGCTGCTGGGAGGGACTTTGTTTTATGTATCGTGGGATTACCTACACCCATGTGGTCCTCGGTAGTGAAGAATATATGATACTTCTCATTGTTCTCCTTGAGAAGAGCCGTAGTGGTTGCAGCGCTCTCTTCCGTCAAGTTGGCCGCGTGAATGAGGCCAGGCGTTTTGGCCGCATCGATGATGAACGTGTCCGTCTGGAGCATGTTGGTCAGATTTCAAAGCAGTTCTGCGTTTCGAATGCTCGATGTTAAAGAAGCAATGGATAGATAACCGGCGCAAGTCAAGAAGTTAGTTAGCTCTGGCCTGGCTTTCTTGTAGCGCATTAACGTCTGAGTTTCAGATACAAGAATCCCAACATTGCACTGTTTTACACTTCTCATATAACTAGATACCTACCACCATAGGGAAAGGGTCATGTGGGATGGGGGTTTGACTATAGCCGTAATCGGCGACTTTCTCGTCAACTTTCTGCGATGATCTGACATCTCTTGCCTTGTTTGAGACAAAAGTGGGTTGCTTCATCCTTGTATTCGTAATTGTTTAACTGTTTGCCCCCGGTGATGCTTTGGGGGCTGTTTTGCGTTGGAACTTGGGGGCGGTATTTTAATGAGTTCTCCTCCTTGAACTGTAGCGTTTTCCTATTTGAACTGTAGTGGTCCGTGCGCAACACTGCAAAACGTCGGCTAATTAATTCTGCCGCTTGATGCCTGCCACACAGCATCACAGCATAACACCCGAAGCAACGTTACGATTCCACAACGGCGCAGTGAGAATACCCTCATTTGGGCATCGAGAATGGATTATTTAAGTGCTGATTTTTTGATTTCAGGTTTTCTTATTAAATATATGTCATTGCGCAGTCTGCAGGACATGGAGGAGTTACCGGCTTCACTCCAACCAGAGGCTGTCTTGACAGGGTCTCCTTATGGTGCACCTGCACCACCAAGCATCCCGCCAGGCCACCGTCTCCTCACTGGCCCGGCTTACGCCTCCTGCAACGAGCTCTTGCTTGATCTGAACTTTTAGGGGAAGTCCTATGGTCTGGGATTTGTGAAGAGGCGAGCTTCGAATTGAGAGTTTTGCGTATTTTCCTGAATCAGGGCTTGAAGAACTTCTTGGTATTCGTGCGTTCTGCTGGATGAAAATGGTGACTATTGGAGCGAAGTTCCATGATTTGTCTCCAAAGTAGGGCTCCGAATCATGCAGCTCACCGCCTTCCCGTTTTGGCTGACGCACGGACCACTACAGTTCAAATAGGAAAACGCTACAGTTCAAGGAGGAGAACTCATTTTAATTATCATGGCGGGAAGCTCCGGGTCGCTTGGACCGCCTGGTCCATAGAAATCAAAATGCTAGATCGGGGAAGGCACTAGCTAGGCAGTGGGATATTGCGCACTGTGTCGAGATGATGGGAAGGGGGTTCGAGGAGCTGTGGGGTTGGATACCTATTAGGAAAAAAAAGAACTGGGAAAGTTTGATTCAGGGGAATGAACCATCCACTCGGTTTTCCTGAAGAAGCCACATTTCCACCTCGGTAATTGAAGCGCTTATCATCTGTTCTGGGCGATTTATCCCTTGCTATTAGATGGAGCCTTGAATTTTCGGGTGGTACACGCGACAGCAAAACTCGCGTACCTAGGCGAGTTGGTAACTTGAGGCTCGTTTGAAATTAAGCTTCTCCTTCGACTGGGCAACCTCTGGCGTGATCTGACCCCCAATGTTGCATTTCCCAACTTCTCTTTGCTCCGAGAATCAATTAAGTTGTCATTTCCCCCAGCGACCTAAAAATTAGACACAAGTTGCCGCAACACAGATACTATAACTATTACACAGACAAAGGTCTATGTAGATGTGTTTCTATGAGAATGGCCACTCGATCTCTACCAAACGGTCATGGCCCCTTTTTATAGTTGTGCAGATACCTATCCATCCAAGTATGCACAATGAAGTTCCATTAGCCGTGAACCGAGATCCTGCTTTCGAACTCAGTTCGGAACTTGGAGCAATACTTTTTTACAAGCATCAAATACATCAAATCTTTGAGAATGCAAGCCTCGTTAGTGTCTAATAGAACCAGGTCGCAAATTCTCGCAGGTTGGAGAACTTACCCAAAGTCGTGCTGGTAACGCTCAGGAAAACTAGTCGGGACAGCTGCTCGAGGGGCGTTGCATTAGCATCCGTACGGAGCGAACTACCCGAGGGCATGGAAGGGAGACCATGGAAGGTCAGGATCGGGAAACTAAATAATTACTTGGATTCAGGGGGTCGGAAAATTGCCGAAGCTCCTCCTCTACCTCCTTCTCCTTGCCTAAGCGTGTTTTGGACATGATCTGAACTCTGGACGCTCGCAAGCGACGGACTTGCTCGAAGAGGACGAGGCGTTCGGAAAGGGCTGCCGCGGACTCGACACCTTTGAGTAGAGCACCCAGCGCCCCGGCGTCCTCGATGGCCTGGTTAGCACCCTGGCCTCCAAAGGGAAGCATCTGACAAATGTTTAGTAACCTAAAACGTGGCAACAGCGAAGGAGGCAGTTCTCACAGGGTGGGCCGCGTCTCCGACCAGCACAATCTTCTGCCGATGCCAGGTAGAAAGGGGGTCGTGAATGGCCAGCGGCCAATCGGTGACGCTGGGCGCCACTCTGATTTTATCGCCATGCCGTCAGCAAACTAGGTAGGTAGATAGATACCCAATGCTGCTCTCGCGGAGTTGTTCTTACTTGATGATCTCTCTCAAGCTGGGGCGGAATAAATGCCCAAACTCACTCAGCATGAGCGCTTTTAAGTCACCGAGAAACCCAGCAGCGCGTGGCGTTGCATCGCGAGTCAGCCTTGCTTTAATACTCACTAATCGAGTATTCTCCGGATTTCGCTCACCCTCTGGAGCACACTCCTGATGCGCCGAATGGATGCCCACAAAATTCTGCACCTGCCCCCTATTCCACGGTGAGACACACAAAACTCAACCCAGACTCCGGAGAAGACCACCTCTTTAAACCTGGCGGAGGAAGACCGCCGCCGGGAGGAGCCTACTCGGGGGTTGCAACTTACCCTTGACAGTCGTACCATACTAGATGTCTCTCCGACTCGTGCGTAGTATCCGCAAAGACAGTCGACCCCTTCCCCTTGACCTTGCGCAGCTCGCGGAAGTGCGGATTCCCCTCCAGCATCGACGTAGGGATGAGAAAGCGGAAGGCACTCAGACCGGAGGGCGTCGCACGGGCAGCGTCACGGCCCTCATCCCCAAGCACCACACCACGAAGAACCGAGTGCAGCCCATCAGCGGCCACCACCAGATCCGCCCGCAGAACCTCCCCATCCTCCAGCTCAACCACCCCCTTTTCCGCATCCCCACCCACAACACGCACCCCCATCCGCAACCTCGCCGTCCCCATGCCCACCCCCCTTCCACCACCACCCCTCCCAGTTTCACCCCCACCCCCAACCCCGTCTCCACCCCCCTCCCCCGTCCGAGTCTCCCCCACCAACAACCGCATCAACTCCCCATGCAAAATCTGCCCGATGCACCGTATGCAACGGCGCGCCAAACCGCTCCCGCGCATCACTCAAATCGGTGCGCGCCAGCGCGGCTAGCGAGGCCCCGTCCAGCACCTCCCAGCACGTCATTTGGTCGGCGCGCGCACGCGTGTGGTCGAAGCCGAGAAAGGATAGGACGTGCTCGCCGTTGGGGGTGAGGAGGAGGGCGGCGCCTGTTTGGGGGGTGGTGAAGGTAGATTTTTGGAGGACCTGTTTTTTTTTTCAGGTTGTGAGTGAGTGAGTGAGTGAGTGGCGGTGGGGTGTTCTCTTGCGGGAAGGGGGGGGGGGGGTTTGGTGGTTTGGTTCAGTTTCTCTGGGGCCTGGGGAGACTACCTAACCCTGCCGCCTTGTGGTATGGTATGGAGTGTCATGCCATGGCTGGGTAGGGGTGAAGGGGGAAAGGGGATTTGGCCTGACTGACCTGGACCGAGTGGCCGGCTTGCCGCAGGGCGATGGCGGTGCAGAGGCCGCCGATGCCCGCGCCGACGACGATGACTTGGAGAGGCATGTTGGGATCGACAGAGTGTTTGGCGTGAGGGAGCGTTCAGTGCCAGAAGTGGCGCCTTCGAAACGTACCTTGGAAAGGTACTAGTTAGGTAGATAGGTCCATGATGTCTTTTTCTCAACTCGGACCATCCAGTGCGGCAGGTGTCAAAGTTCGACACCGAGTCATCGACAACGGCGCCAGCGGCATCCCCCCGAGCCGCATGAAGCACGTCATTGTCATGATCATACCCCATCTTGTCATACAGTTTAGCCGGCACCCTGTCGGCGAATTTTGCTCGGCGATTTCTCGCGGCATATTTTTTTGTTGTTTTGCACTTCTATCCAAAATCCGACTTTACCCGATTTCTTTTCTATCCGATATACGTTGTAACTGCCGGCCTTTCTGTAATCCTCAAAGGAGCCGATAAGTCCGATGATCTGGAAGGGTGGCGTGACATGCTCCAGGCATTGTATTAACCGGCGATAATGGCCACACGGGTTAACTACCTTTAGTGACTCGGACCACTGTTGTCGGCACCACACTGAACCACGAGGTAGTGATAAGGTATCTTGTCTTTTGTATCTTATCTCTAAAGTAGGTATGGAAAAGGACGAAATCAACCCCCTCCCCCTTCCCTGCCCCTGAAATGCAGGTAGAGGCGGGGCCGCTCAAAGTGCTCGGCGAATTGGCCCATACACAACAACAACAAGAAGCACACATCTATTATTGCCAGGTGTAATGCATGAACCATGTACATACTTTACAATACAAGCCGAAAGAATCTACCCGCCGCTATCAGCTGATTAGTGTGTTGGGTAAAACAACCCCGGTATGAGCCGCCGTCGCCGTGATGCTCTGGATGACCCCTGATATCCAGCTCCGCCCCTCTTTCATTGTCCCTCAGCGAATAGCCGCAAATCCTCCTTCATCAGGCCCATGATGTGTTGTAGAGCGTGCAGCAGAGATTCGATATCCTCGAGCTCCAAATTTTCCGGGGTGAGCGAATCTCTGGATGTCTCTGTCGATGCAGTGTTGACATTCCCGTCGATGCTGAGAAGAGATTCCAGAGAGGCGCTGCTGCTGGTTCTGCTTCTGCTCATGTTCTCGGATTCGCTGTATTCCGAACCCGACCTCGTGCATTCCCACAGATAGAGCGACGCAGCCTTGATTTCCCGCAGGGCGCTGCGGATGGCCAAACTAATGACTTCATTTTTGGTCTCCCCCGTCAGCTGGAAGCTGCCGACACATACTCCTATGTCGGGGACCCCGGGGGTCCCGTGGGCCCCGGGAAAGCGTTGCCACGTTTCTGCAGCGCCACCCGGCATATTATCGGTGCGATAGTAGGCTGCGCGGAGCCTCTGGACCGATGAGAGCAGGACGCGGATGCTCATGGCGAACAGCATGAGCACATACCGGTTGTTTTCTTCGCCCCTGCACCTCAAGCACCGCATGAAACTGTCCCAGGGGCCCTGGGCCAGCTGGACTCCGTGCAGGACGCTGTCGACGGATGGGCTGGCCGCCTGTGAATCCCGGAGGTCTTCCAGCTGATACACAAGCCTGACCTGCTGCCGAAGACACAAACATTCGGGTACCCCCGTTAGAAAAGCTCTCGGAGAAAATACCGGGCTCTGTGAGTTTGCCACGCCTGTGGCAGAGCTGGCTGATACGAGGCTGTTGTTGGCGTGTCTTTTGCGACCGCCTTGGGACGAGAGAGGCGCCTCGGAAACTGCGGTTTGATGGCCAGGCTTGAGTGGTGATGGCGCAACAAGGCCCTATTTCAAAAATCATTTCTTGGTCAGACCCACTACCACGAAAAGAGCAACATGTTTTGATGTGCGTCTTACATGGTTGAACATGGCATCCATGCCCGAGCCCTCCCCAACACCAATTGACTCCATCAGAGAAGTCAGGTCTGGGCTGAAGAGTGCCTGGGGACTGTGGTCCGGGACGAGGCTCTGATGCGCCGACGCGGTGTCGCATGCGCGGTCCGAGGCAAAGTCGAGCAATTGCCGCTGGTCGTCGTTCCAGGGGAGGGCCTGCTGACCGTCGTCGTTTACAGGCCCGGGCGCGGGTCCGGGTCCGGGTCCGGGTCCACGCTCGGAGACGGCTTCCCCATTGCTCCCCTTTCCCTGTTGCAACAACGTCCGTTTGTTCTTGCTGCCCTTGGGCCGGCCGAGGCGATTTGTGACGCTGTAGACACAGTTCGACTGAGAGACATGGCATGGCACGCATGGGCTGCCACCCGAGCACTTGATTTTGCACTGGTGGCATGTGTCGCAGGCAGAGCGCAGCCGGCCGGGCGGTTTTGGGGGCTGCTTCCAGGCCTTGTTCCGTGCGACTGCCGGCTCTTGAACGTGGGGTGCTGGGCTTGGGAGAGGCATGGGTAGGGCCAAGTATTCCGGCTGTCGGTTTGTGGTTCCTCCCGAAAGCGCGGCGGCCCGATGGATGGGGAAGATAGGGGTCCGACTTTAAGAATTCCATCTGCGCCGCATTCTTACAGCGCCGCAAACCCGCAGAGCAACCTCCTTTAGGAAGACTCCTACTTGTCCCGTGGGGAGTGGTGGGCAGTGTCGCATTGCGTGTCCGATCTGACAGGCGCGCGAGATTCAAGTCCGGGCTACTCGCTAATTCACCACCGTTTCTAGGACATCAATCTGTGCTTACATCTACAGGTGTGCATTTAACTGGCTGAAAGCATCCGCTTACT